TCATTGCTACAATGGGAGAAGAATACAAAAAGCATGATTTCACAAGCTATGGAAGTTGGAAGAAAGGTGGGAAGCTTGGGCGAGCCTACGTATTGCCGAAACATAAAGATTATTCGAAGTTCAGGCCGATCTGCCCTACGTTCAGCGAGCCAGGCAACCAGCTTGTCGGAGGGTCTCTCGAGGACTTAACGAGATGCTCTTTAATCTCCCCGAGAGTGGACATTTTAACCTGAGGTCTGTACATTTGATGACGACGAGACTGACTAAGATGAACCGGCGATTGAAGAATGGATGCGCGAATACCGGTGTGATGGCAGCTTCCTATGACATAAAAGATATGTTTACCAAGCTGCCTCACGGGACAATCCTGAGAGCTGTGGAGTGGTGTATATGGTGGTACGAATCAAAAGGTTTTCGGGGTGTGTTTGTAAAAACGAGGGGAAAGGGCGCGAAGCTCAGCGAGAGTCAGAAGGTTGACGGTTTTAAATTTGTGCAGTTTTCAGTTCTGCTTGAATATGTAAGATACGATCTTCGTACTTGTTTCACTGTTGCTTCTGGAATCATCCTCATACAGACTGTGGGAATCCCAATGGGTAAGGCATCGAGCCCACCTTTGGCCTATTTGATGTGTGCAAAATCCGAATGGGATTTTTTACTCACATTAGGAGGTCAAAGAAATTAGTGGAAGGGATTAGATTTGTGGATGATTCGTGAGTGTTTGTAGCCTATAACAAGAAGAGCGTGGCATCGGTGAAACGGGCGAAAGAGATACTGTTGGCTTACGAATCGGGTTACGATGCGAACCCGACTTTGACGAGAACTGACGACGATGAAGAGGAATGGGATTTCTTGGGATGCCGCCTCAAGATCAACAGTGAATTTCCGTTCCTTAGTTGCCATAAGGTGATGAAGAACGAGAGAGACCTGTTGACTGGTGATGACCTGACATTTCAAACCTTCTAGGACCACGAGTCATGGACGGTGAAGAAGGCAAATTTAAAATGGCATCGGTCACAAGTTGCTTACACAGGGTACGTCAGAACTCCATCTCGAGTCTTGGAATGGTTGGAGCTATCATTGCGCTGAGAATGAAACTCCGGAGGAGGAGTTACCCTGAAGAACTGTTTCGGTAGGTGATCCGGAACTTTGCGAGAGACAAGGAACGAATCTGGATGATGATTGCTGAGTTGATGAGTGTATAGACTAGCCAGTGATGGAACCCGTGTGATTAGATTTTTTGTAAATTAGGGATGGTGACAGTATTTGGTGATACATAGGCTTGCCACAAACGACGTTTTTTCGCTGCAGAACTTTTCGGTTCGAAAAGACTGACTCGGTCAGGATTCAATCCGGGTACTGGTTTGTATCACCAGGTAGGGCCCAAACCTCGGTCACTGGTACTGATTCGGTAGAATAGTGAGGAATAGTCTCGAAGTAGCTGAGGTACCGCGTCAGTAAGTATAGTTTAGGGAAGGGCGGGTATTAATAGAATGGTTACGAAGACAATAATCCCTTCGCACCTTGAGTGCACAGGAAGTCAGGAGCGGACAGACGGAGGTTAGAGGGATGGTTTGTACTCGAGTCGGTGGTGTCCTCACTGGCGCTTAGCGTTGCGCTTCACGAATTTGTCACGGGCTACTATGCTACGGGCGATAATTTTTTTTCATTGCTATTACTACAGTGTTTTATCTGTTGTCTTGGTGTGTCGTGCCAGCAAGCATGATTCTCACGAGTATGTTGTTTCTAATACTAATAATAATATGTTCGGGCGAATATAATTTTTTTATTAAAAAATAAAATAAAAATAAAAATATATTGTTTTCGGTTTTTGATTTTTAACTCATGATTGGCTACGAATGGGAATATGTCTCCAGGGCAAAAGTTGCTTGTACTGTTATTTTACATAACATATATATTTTTTTAGATTTTTCTGAGATTTTGTTTTTGTTTTTTTATTTATTTATATTTTTTATGTTCGCGTTCGGGGGGGTTTGGACGCTTGTTCGTGTTCGGGCGAATATGTTCGCGTTTGCCTCCGAACACGAACACGGTGCTACGTAGCTCCAAAGTTGTAAAAAAAATGTTATAGTGAATTCAGGCATATAGGATTATATGTCCTTCCCAACATTTTATAAACTCTATAACTAGGCTTCCTAAGTCGCCCGGCCGGCCGTGCATGGCCGTGCACATGTGCAGGCTGCACGGGTCACCTGAGTGAGTTTTTTTTTAATTTAATTAAAAAAAAAAGTGATGGGGTGCTGTTGCGGATGCAGGGATGTACCCGAATCCGCCTTTTCCACACATGTTTACAACACTGCTACTTGGAGGTTGGAACTTGCCAGTGTGGGGCAGTTTGGGCCTGTATGGCAGCTATGGAAGGGGTGTCAGCTTTGGCACGACATAACCCTGACCCCTGCCTTTTTTTTTTTTTTTTTTTCGTTTGCCACCTATGTTGCATAATGTACACGTACGGGGCCTTTCCGTACGAAACATACAGGTAATATCTGTACGGGATTTGTACGAGAACCTATACGGGAATGTACGTCTTGTACGCCCATGTAAAAAAAAACAAAAACAAAAATAAAAGTCGTTAAAAAAATCCGAAAAAAAACTATATGATGGAACAACATAAAACAAGCAACATTTGGATGAGCATCATCCTCAGATTCTTATTAGAATTTGAGCAAAAAAAAAAAAACTATACGGGATTAAAAAAAACAAAAAAACAAAAAAACTCGTACTAGGCCCCTAGCGTACGAGTAGCGTACGAGTACAAGAGTATGAACCTGTACTCGTATGAGGGTGCGTACAAGTGGCAACGCAGTTTGCCATTGTCTGCTGAACACACCGCATATAGTCAGCGACAGTCAGACTGACTACGAGCACACTGAAAGTTACAGGGGCACAACCCTGACCCCGCATATGTTTTTTTGTTTTTTCTTTCCCCGTGTCTGCCACTGTGTGCTGAACACAACTCACACACTCAGCGATACTCAGACAAACTCGGAGTAGACTGAAAGTAACCCGAGTCTCTCGGAGTGTGTTTAAGTGTGTTCGGTGTGTCCACCGAACACACCCAGTCACACTCCGAGAGACCCAGGTCCCTTTCAGTGTACTCCGAGTCTGTCTGAGTGTCGTTGAGTGTATGAGCTGTGTTCAACACACAGTGGCAGACGCTAACACACATTCTGACGTCACTGCACTCAGCCACAAAATGCCTCAGGAGAAAGGCAGTTGAAACAACAACATCAACAACATAAGAAGGAGAAGAAGAAGAAGAAGAAGAAGAAGAAGAAGAAGAAAAACAACAACAACAACAACAACAACAACAACAAAATCTGCATAAGTTTGACTCAAGCAACCGACTCAAGCAAGTGAATGGACGCAAGCAACTGACTCAAAGAACTCACCTGACTCAGGTAACTCTACTAACTAAACTGACCCAAAAACTTAACTATGGCCGACTCCACTGACTCAACAACTGAAATGCTGCAATTGACTGGAATGACTCAACTGACCAGGCAGACTCAACCGACATGAGTTGAACGGACAACATAACTACGTAGACTCACTTGACTCAGCTCAGTCAACTGACTCAACTGACTCAACTGACTCAACAGACACGAGTTCGACGGACTCAACTGACTCAACTGACAATGACATGACTTAAAGTATAAAATTCGCAGAACTAATTCAACAGACTTCTGAGACTTATGAGAAAGAAGCCCCGAAGAGCAATCGATAGCAGTGAAGCCTCTAAGGCCCGTTCTTGTCACCCGAGTGCCCCCATTCTTCGTGGCTGCTGCTGTGTGCTGAAACACCCGCATAATCGTTATCACTGATGATCTCCGCCTTTCTTTTACGTGACTTCGGAGCCTTGCTCCGCTGTGCTCGGGCGACTCGGACCTCGGCCGCAATGGTTTTCACCACTTCGTTGCTTGTAGATACTTCCGTGGACGCCCTCATCCGCTCTTCACTGCAGGGGGTCCGACCTTCTGAGCAACTCTCTTATGCTTCCTTCCCGCAAGGCTCACGTCAAGGTTGTCGTGATGTGTAACCTCAAGCAACGGTGGGAAGGTGGAATGCTCAACAACAGACGTTTTCGCTGGCTGTTCCTCATGCTGCTACAGTTCCTACTGCTGCTCAAACTGCTTATCTGCTTCCCGCTGCTGTGACCCCTCCACGTAAAGCTCAAGTTGCTCTTGGTGCTGGTGGCCGTCTTGTGGTTGCTGTTGCTGCTCGTCTTCTTGTCGGATCCCGCAATCTGCCTGCCGCAGCCCACCCTTTTGGTGCTGCTGCTGATCCTCCAGTGATGTGGATTCCTTGTGCTGCTGCATGCCAGCGGTGTACTCTTCTTGCAGTCCCTTTCCTGTGTTCTCTAGCTCTTCCCCTTCTCCCAATGCTCTCGCTGCAGTTGGGGACCCCGAGCAACGGTGGGAAGGTGGAATGCTCAACATCAGGCGTTTTCGCTGGCTGTTCCTCATGCTGCTGCAGTTCCTCCTGCTGCAGTTCCTGCTGCTGCTCAAACTGCTTATCTGCTTCCCGCTGCTGTGACCCCTCCACGTAAAGCTCAAGTTGCTCTTGGTGCTGGTGGACGTCTTGCGGTTGCTGTTGCTGATCGACTTCTTGTCGCATCCCGCAATCTGCCTGCCGGAGTCCACCCTTTTGGTGTTGCTGCTGATCCTCCAGTGGTGTGGATTCCTCGTGCTGCTGCATGCCAGCGGTGTACTCTTCTTGCAGTCCCTTTCCTGTGTTCTCTAGCTCACAGGAACTGCCACACGTTTTGCAGCCTCTTGTTGCATCCGTTGCTCAACAAGAGGCCGGTCCCTGCGGGCCAAGGTCTGCGCCTCTGCTCTAGCACGCTCATCCTCGCTATCAACATTTACGAAGGCGGGCCTCATTGTCTTCAAGAAGTCTGCGTCGTCGTCCAAGTGCGCCACATCCGCCCTCCATGTGAGCTCCTCATCAACGTTGTCGTCGTCACTGTTGTCTGACTTGTCACTCTCTCGAGGCGGATACAGGTCAAACTCCACCTTCTCCTCCTCTTCCTCGTCCTTATCCTCGTCCTTGTCCTAGTCCTCCCCTTCCTCCTCTTCCCCCTCCTCGTCCTCCTCCCCGTCAGCCTCACCCCCTTCTTCATAACCGCCCTCAACATCATCGTCAAGCAATTGCATCTCCTTGAGGTCCTCAAGCTGCTGCTGCTCTTGTGTCTTCTGTCCCTTTCCCCTCCAGATAAGGTCCTCCCCATCGTCACTGCTATCAGAGGAGCTCGAGTTATCTACCCTTTTCATCCTTGGGACCCTCCATTTGGGCGCCTTTCTCAGGCAAATCATCCATGCCCCCTCATCATCAGAAGGGTAAACACTTGCTGCCGTGGCAGGGAGAACAGTCGGGTCGTCAAGCGATGGAGCTTCCGCCTCATCGAAGTAGTTGGCCCATAAGTCAATGTAACCCTCCCTCTTTGTCCCCTTCACCTTTTGTAGTTGTCCGTTCCAATGAACGTAGACGAGCTTCGCAACGGTCCCACTGCTCAACGTGTTTCTCTATTTGCTGTACACGAGATCCAACGACGACCAATTTCTCTCGCACGGGGTGGCCGTGCTCCATATGGCGGTGACCCTCACTGCAATCTCCTGCAATTTCCTGTGGCTTTGACCATGAGTGCTCCACTATTTAGATGCGGTCAGCTACGAAAGCCCACTGTCAAAAGTCGCGAACTTTGTCCAGAAGCTCTCCTCCTCCTCCCTTTTCTTTGGAGGCTCTTCCCCCTTCTTTCGGGCTTCTTCCCTCTTTTTTTTTACCTCCTCCGCCCACTTGTGGTTCATTTCCTGTGTGGGCTCCTTGAGGAAGGCCTGCAGATCTGCGAATAGGTCAGGGTTCTCTTTACACTCCCATGTGGAATCCTCCGGGCACTGAGACAGCAAGGACTTCATTGTATTCTGCACAAGCGGGCTGTTAATGTCATTCAACCACCGCCCGTTTTTCTTCTTCAGATTGAGGAGGAAGTTGGCAGCATGCACTAGCTGCCTCATCATTTTGCACCGGGTAGTGATCTTAGTATTGATGGCCTTCTGTTGCGCTGCTGTTAGTCCGTCAATGTGCTGCATACGCTTTACGAGGCCTTCAACAAAGTTCCAGAGCTGATGTGGGGCTATGCCATTGCGGTCCATCTTCCGAAGCATCTCATACACGGGGTCCATCACTGTCACAACTATGTCCAACAACTGCCACCATTTCGTGGACCGCACGGTGATGCACGTGGTTTCCGATTTGCCTCTGTCCTTTGCTCCACTCCACATGATGTCCTTCTAACCTTCCTCCATCATCTCGTCCAATACCTTCCTCCTGTCCCTCAACCGCTCGAGCATCATGAACTTGAATGTGAACCGCACCTCTGTGGGGAGAATCGGCGACATCTCCCTCACCAAGTCTGAACACTTGTTATAGAGGGACACTGTATGGTGGTGATTCTTAATGACCTTCACAATCATCTTCGCACTCTGCGCCACTTCCTGCACCCAGTCCACTCCACATATGTCGTTCAGCAGCAGGTTCAAGCAGTGTGTTGCGCAAGTAACCCAAGGAATGTGGGCAATTCGAAGATTTGTTCACCTCCTCAAGATCCGTGCAACTTGCTTATTTACCTCAGAGTCTACGTTATCCGTGCATATTGCGTTGATTCTTTGAACCCCGATCTCCTTGATGACCCCCTCCCAGATCTTCGCAAGATCAAATGCAGTCTTTTTCCTCTTCGACATGTCCACCATCTTCAATAACACAGCCCCACCCTCGCATGCTGCTACGAAGTTCATTACTCGCCTGAATCTGCGATCGGTGCACCTATCTGTGATGAGGGTACATCTAGTACTGCCTCACTTCTCCATCAATGAACGAACCTCCTCCTTCACCTTCTTATAAACGATGTCTAGTGCCACTGTCCGGATAATCTCCAAGGAAGGTATGTTCACCCTTTGCTTCTTCTCGCCCAACTCACATAATTGAACGGCGCCCCGTGCTCACATAGATACTCAACTCCAGCAACATCTAACCTCCGCTGAGAATTATTCTCAGTCCAGCGCTTGATGGATTGTTGCTTGAGCTTCCCATTCTTTACTTGAGTCGCTGCCTTCTGGGCGGAAGCCCTGACAACAATCACCTCATCCACCTCGTTATCGTCTTGAGGAGTTTCATGTTCTTCTCTCCCTAGTGCTGTCAGAGGCAGCATGAAGTCCTCCAGCATGTCTGCATCCTCACCCTTCTCTTGCTCGGTCGGAGCAATAGGACCGTTGTTCGGTATGTTGTTCTCCCTGCGGTACATCTGTATCAAACGCAAAGTCTTCGGGGAGTCCACCTTTGCCCCGGACCGTAAGAGGATGTGAAGAATCTCAGTAGTCTTGTTGGAGCAAGGGTTCCCTTTTCCCGTGAAGTGCTAAACCACGCGGGTGTACGGCGCTTGAAACTCTTTCCCACACAGTTTGCAAATGCACCAGTACTGGCCCCTTCCCTTCAGTTCTGCCTCTTGACATTGTGGGACCCACTTGTACCCGATCTTCATCAGCTGAAGTTCAAGCTGCCTACTCTCTGGTTGCAAGACCAAAACTGGTTTCGGGTACTGCCTTTTCGTCGACACCTTCGCCTTCCCCTTGGACTTCGAAGTCCTCATAGAGGTTGTGGAAACCATCCCAATGAAGAAGAAGAAGAAGAAGAAGAAGAAGAAGAAAAAGAAGAAGAAGAAGAAGAAGAAGTAGTAGAAGAAGAAGAAGATGGGAAGATAGGAATTGGAAGTTCGAGCAAGAAGAAGAAGAAGAAGACGGGAAGATGAGAAGATGGAAGTTCGAGCAAGAAGAAGAAGAAGAAGAAAAAGACGAAAAAGAAGAAGGAGAAGGAGATGAGGAGAGGAGAATAGGAGGAATAGGAGGAGGAGGAGGAGGAGGAAGAAGAAGAAGAAGAAGAAGAAGAAGAAGAAGAAGAAGAAGCTGCGTACATTTTGGCCAGAGAGTGATGTAAAATAGTGGAAAAATACCATATGATACGACGTCAAACACAAGTGCGATGTCGACTCATCACATCCTGGAGCTGGAGAAAACGTAACCTTCTCTCCTCTATGGAAACTTAGAGGTAATAAACGAGCTCAAAACGGTGAAGGCATAAGATAAGAATGAAAGATAAGATAAGAAGTAAGCACTGCATGAATAATGTGAGGTCACTTTGATGACGCTGGATGTCACAAAATTCGAAATGCTTTGTTTTTTCTCTCCAAGAAGAAGAAGAAGAAGAAGAAGAAGAAGAAGAAGAAGAAGAAGAAGAAGAAGGAGGAGGAGGAGGAGGAGGAGGAAAAATGGGAAGATGGGAATAGTGGGAGATGGCCGGATTGAGGTAGGAGGTGGCTGGAGTTAAGTGGGAGATGGCGGAACAGAGGGAGGGGGGAGATGGCCGGAGGGAGGTGGAAGAAGGAGAGAGGGAAGTGGGAGATGGCAGCAGGATGGTGGGAGCAAAGTGGCGCGAGAGAGATGGAAGATGGATAGAGGGAGGTCGCAAATAGCGGGAGGGGAGGTAGGAGGGAGGTTGCAGATGGCAGGAGGAGAGGTAAGAGGTGACAAATGAAAGGTTGGAGATGGCGGGAAGGAGGTGGAGATGGCAGGAGGGAGATGGAGGTGGCGGATTTAGGTAGGAGGTGGAGATGGAGGGAGGGAGGTGGAGATGGTGGGAGTTGAGGGTAGGAGGTGGCGGGAGTTGAGTGGTAGATGGCGAAAGTGCGGGAGGGAGGTGGAGATGGCGGGAGGGAGGTGGAGATGGCAGGAGGGAGGTGGACGTGGGGGATTGAGGTGGGAGGTGGAGATTGTGGGAGGGAAGTGGGAGATGGTAGGATTGAGGTAGGAGGTGGGCCGGAGGGAGAATAATAACAATAATAATAATAATAATAATAATAATAATAATAATAATAATAATAATAATAATAATAATAATAAGAAGAAGAAGAAGAAGAAGAAGAAGAAGAAGAAGAAGAAGGAGGAGGAGGGAGGTGGGAGATGGCCGGATTAAGGTAGGAGGTGGCAAGAGTTGAGTGGGAGATGGCGAAAGAGAGGGAGTAGGGAGATGGCGGGAGGGAGGTGGAGGTGGCGGATTGAGGTAGGAGGTGGAGATGGCGCGAGGGAGGTGGGAGATGGACGGATTGAGGTAGGAGGTGGCGGGAGTTAAGTGGGAGGTGGCAAAACGGAGGGAGGGGGGAGATGGCGGGAGGGAGGTGGACAAAGGAGAGAGGGAAGTGGGAGATGGCGGCATGATGGTGGGAGCGAAGTGGCGGGAGAGAGGTGGAAGATGGATAGAGCGAGGTCGCAAATAGCGGGAGGGGAGGTAGGAGGGAGGTTGGAGATGGCAGGAGGAGAGGTAGGACGTGACAAATGGAAGGTTGGAGATGGTTGGAGGGAGGTGGAGATGGCAGGAGGGAGATGGAGGTGGCGGATTGAGGTAGGAGGTGGAGATGGCGGGAGGGAGGTGGAGATGGCGGGAGTTGAGGGTAGGAGGTGGCGGGAGTTGAGTGGTACATGGCGAAAGTGCGGGAGGGAGGTGGAGATGGTGGGAGGGAGGTGGAGATGGCGGATTGAGGTAGGAGGTGGAGATTGCGGGAGGGAGGTGGGAGATGGTCGGATTGAGGTAGGAGATGGGCCGGAGGGAGGTGGGAGGTGGGAGATGGTCGGATTGAGGTGGGAGGTGGAGATTGTGGGAGGGAGGTACAGATGGCCCGATTGAGGTAGGAGGTGGCTGGAGCTAAGTGAGAGATGGCAAAACAGAGAGAGGGGGGAGATGGTGGGAGGGAGGTGGAAGAAGGAGAGAGGGAAGTGGGAGATGGCGGTAGGATGGTGGGAGCGAAGTGGCGGGAGAGAGGTGAAAGATGGATAGAGGGAGGTGGCAGATAGCGGGAGAGGAGATAGAAGGGAGGTTACAGATGGTAGGAGGAGAGGTAGGAGGTGGCGAATGGAAGGTTGGAGATGGCAAAAGGGAGGTGGGAGATTGCCGGCGGGGAGATGAGGGATGGGGAAAAGGAGGTGAAGACAGAGAGAGGAGGACGGGAGATGGCGGGCGCGATGTTGGAGGTGGCGAAAGGGAGGTGGGAAGTTGCAGGCGGTGAGGTGGGAGATGGCTGGATTGAGGCAGAAGGTTGAGGGAGTTGAGTGGGCGATGGCGAAACAAAGGGAGGCGGGAGATGGCGGGAGGGAGGTGGAAGAAGGAGAGAGGGAAGTGGGAGATGATGGGAGGGGAGGTAGGAGGTGGCGGAAAGGAGGCAGAGGATTGGCAGGCGGGAGACGGTGGATGGTGGGAGGGACGTGGGAGATAGCGGGAGGGGTAGTGGGAGGTAGCAGGAGGGGTAGTGGGAGGTGGTCGGAGATGGCGAGAGATGGCGGAAGAGCAGGAACGTAGTGGCGGGAGGGAGGTCGACGATGGCGGAAGAGAAGGAAATAAGTGGCGAGAGAGAAGTGGAGGGCGACGACTCCGAGCACACAGAGGGCGACGACTCAGAGCACACGAAGAAGTTGAACGAAGAAGACGAAGAAGAAGAAAAAAAAAGAAGAAGAAGAAAAAGAAAAAGAAGAAAAAGAAAAAGAAAAAGAAAAAGAAGAAGAAGAAGAAGAAGAATAAGAAGAAGAAGAAAAAGAAGAAGGAAAAAAAAAAAAAA